ATGCCTTTTTATGGTTTTGTTTGTCCATGTATGTTTTGTGTTTGTTGTAAAAATAAAAAATATTTAAAAAAAAAGAAAAAAAGAAAAGGCCTTGCAGTTTCTCTAGGAAAGATCAATCCAAGAGTCAACATTGTGGTAGGACCTTATGCTTTATATACAACAAGAAACAGATTGGCAAAGTCTATACTAGGAAACAGCATAGTTGCTCAGTTTACAAAATGATGTTATCATATGCAACATATACTAACTTCGGCAGCAGGTCCTATTTTTTCTGAAAGTTAAGAACGTTGCCTAAGGGATACAAGGTGGGCAAACTTTTCAGTACCAAAGACTACATGGACATCAGTTACTAGACAATATACTGTATCTGTTGCCAATTTAAATCCCATAGGATTCAAGCACCCACACATGAAAACCCACCTTTTAAAAGAATGATACCAATGCTGTTATTACTATGCCTACATGATGTTTAACCATTCATAATCCACCATGTGTGGGACAGCCATGTTTTTTGTAAAGCAAAATGCATTTGCTCACATTCGCTCCCCACATCATCTTACTATCTTCCACATTTTATCCCATTAGTGACTTTAGTGTGCAAGCTCTTTCCAGACAGCAATCTTCCTGTGCAGCTCTGTAACATGCTATGTATGTTTACAGAACAGTAATAAATATTAATAGTGGGTTGGATCCAGATTTAGATGCTTGTAGCATCTTGTTAGCAAATTTCCCCACTAAGTACTTCCTGTACTTCCTTCAGTCTCCTGATGCTGTTATATTACTGAATGGGTAGCACCCACGGCAAACTACACTGCTAGCATAGGTGTTTCAGAATCACTGGTGATGCTAGTGAAACAATTGTAATGCCAAAAGATGTTGCTAGAGCAGATGTGCCCTCCTTGGCTTCCAATAATCTAGCCCAGTTTATTTTAGAAGTGCTGGCTTATAATAACCCAGCATCTTCATCCAGGCTAGCCAATGGCTGACTCATGCAAGCTGAGGATGACACTGTGGTCCAACACTTCTGGAAAACACCAGACTACAGAAGGCCGATCTAGCAGCACGGTCAAAGTCCCCCAGCCGTGGAAGCTCACTGGATAACTCTGGGCCAGTTACTTCCTCTCAGCCCAACCTATCTCACAGGGTGTTGTGGGGAAAAACTGGGAGGAAGGAGTACTATATACATTGCCTTGAGCTCCTGAATAAAAGGAAAGACATAAATCAATCAGTCAAACAAATGAATAATAAATATTAGACTGAGGTTGGACTATGTACAGATAAACAATAAACTGATAAAGGAATTCTTAAATCCTTTTCAAATGCCATGTATATACATACCCTTTGTAGCCAATATGGAGATGTGAGAAATGTAGATGCCCCATAATTTTCTCCTGAGGATGGTGAAGGATATGGGTGAGGCAAATTTAGTCCCAAGTACAGAACAAAGGACTGTGATAATTTAGTTGCCTCATTTTTTATCCAAGTTGTTGCTTCATCAGTAACCTTCCAATCTTTTTGCATGACTCTTATGTATGTCTTGTTACCTATGAGTTTAGCCACAGGTCTGCCTTCTTGCTGAAGCAAAAAATCAACATTTCTGGTCCAAGCCTCCACACGGTTACTGAAAATAAGAAGAGCTTTCAAAGTATGCCTTTTTAATCAACACATAATTGCAGGCAAATTACCCAAGATTGTGATGCTAGCTTATTTTTATTAACCATAGCTAAAGTTAAAAAGTTCAGGCTTTATATACACATAACCAAGCTACACATATTCTAAACAGTGTTTCCCAACCTCAGCAACTTTAAGATGAGTGGACTTCAACTCCCAGAATTCCCCAGCCAGCTCATGCTAGCTGGGGAATTCTGGGAGTTGAAGTCCATATATGTTAAAGTTGCTGAGGTTAGGAAATACTGTTCTAAAGCTTCTATGTTCCTATTTCTCTCACAGCAGCAACAGAGTTAGAAAGCAAAGGTAAGAATGCATGAGTCTGAGGCTAGCTGTGATTCACAGAATCATAGAACTGTAGAACTGGAAGGGACCACAAGTCCAGCTTTCTGCAATATTCCGGAAAACCAAGTACAGTAAGGTTCTTCCTTGTAATAGCAAATACAGGCCAAGATATGCTGATCCAGTTCATACAACATACTAAGTTTGTGTGAATTGAGATCATGGGACAGATTGTGATTAAGAAGTACTTCAGTCACAGTCTACATCTGTCTATGGCTCTGTTTCATTACTGACCTTAGCCAAATATCATTCAAACCGGACTAATAGCTAGCAGAGACTTAAGCAACTATTAGTTTCCATGGAAACAATGTACAGTAGACTGGAGAAGTGACTTCAAAGCAAAGCAGATTCTGAAGCAGATTCTCTTCTGCTTCCAAACGTTATTATCCTCCATCCATACATGTACATTTCCCATGCCCCCCCCGCGCCAAAAAGGAATTGGCAAAGAATTCAACTTCTCTATGATGAACCACAACATTTTCCCTGTCCTGCTTGGGGTTTTTGTTGTTATCAAAAACCAAACAATCTCTGCTTCATATCATAGATTTCTAGCTACTACAAAAGTCATGTGACCTAACGAGTGTGACCTAAATCTCTGCTAAAAAGTGGCCTATTGTGTTATATGGTATATTAGTACATCTCTGATTAATGCTAAAGCGTGGTTTACCACATCATGCAAATCAGACCACTTAGATAGTTTTCTGTTGGCTCCTTTTGTGGCAGCCTCCCATAGAATTTCTAAATGCAGGGGTTTGAGTGACTGGTTGTTATTTTACTTTAGAAAATAGTTTGGGGTTATCATTTCTGGAACAGACAGACATTTTCCTATATTTATTTCTATTCTGCTTCATTTCAAAATGAACGGGTTGCATACAAATCAAAACGAGAGGGCAGGGGACACAAATGATATACCACATTCACATCTACAGCTTTACAGCGGGACAAGTTAAGGGAAAGGATTGCTAGATTCCCCTGGTTCTGTTTCCTCTCTGACTGATCAGCATCTGCCTGTTGAGAGAACAACCATCAGTCACTCCTTATCAGCTTTAACTTGTGGTGGGACAGGGCTAGGTGAGTGTAGACAAGTGCTTTGAATAACAGGTTTATGAATTAAGTAATTCTAAATCCATTTTGAGATTAATATCCATGTCCATTTGAGATTAATATCCATGTTCATTATTTTTTTTTTTAAACGATGAAAAATATCAAGCATTTTATAGGCTTTGTCCATTCTCATCCTCACTCCACTATCTCTTATTTAAACACTTACTTCCCCTTCCCTGAAATTCTCAAGAACTGCATATGGCTCCAGAGAAAAGTTTGTTTATATTCTGTTTTCAATATTTACAACACGGTTTCTAGCACTATCTGAGCAGATAGACATACCAGGTTGGATTCTATCAGATAATAAAATCCCTCTACACTTAATTTTTGTATTCTTAGGACTAACGCAATATCCAGACAAGATTTGACATAACGTATGAAGTTGGATACCAAACACGACTTTGAGGAATGTGAAATACGCAATGCCAAATTAGTACAAAATATACAAGACACGTGATTTTTAAGCAGTGTCAAGCATACCTGCCTTCCTTCAGTTCATATTTCAGATATAAAGCACCATTTTAAAGGGAAGAATGTCTAGTAGTAGAGGAATAGCACTGACTGAAGCAGTCCCCTAATTAAAAATTTTGTTCAGCTATAAAATGGAAATCATCAAGTTCCATGAGGCTAGGGTGGGAAGGAACCGTTCCTTACCACAGTTATTTTTTTTTAGGAATTATATTGGAAACAATGTTTACTGTATGCCCTTGACCATGAGACACTTTGCTTTCATGCTGAAAGATAAAGCACTGAAAAGCATTTAATCAATTAAAAGAGAAACAACAAAATGACCCAGATTTCATCAACAAACCCCAGAGATATATTTCCTTCTTTTCTCACCTTAGTGAATGATGTCCAGAAGTATAATCTAGTTTTCCATATTTTTTAATATAGTAGCCTTTATTTTCCATAAGGTCCATCCATGTTGTATAATTTGGATCTAAGCCCTTGAAGTTATTCCAGGACTCGGTTAAGTGAGTGAAAAGGCCACTCCACATAGCTAAAAATATATATATATATTTGTTGAAGACCTCATCAATACATAAAGCCATAATAAAACAATGTGTTTATACAACTGTCTTCTTCACCTGATACAACCTACAAGGCACCCCATAAGACAAGAACCTGCGACTTTGAGGATAATTTCTTGCCACTGTATTTCTATGGCACATGCTGTTCAAGCTCCAGGAGAACTCCTACAGCATGAAAACCCATCAAAATCTTCTCTCTCTCCTTTCCAAGGAAAGAATATATTTCCTCTGTAGTTCCTTTATTCTTTTGCTCTGCCTTTTACTCAAATATTGATTTCTTCTTTTTTATATACAATTTTACCTGCACGGGATGGACAGCATATGGGAGAATTGGTGTAGGCATTAAGAAAGAGACTGCCTTGCCTCCTCATGAGGGTTATAAAAGGCAAAGCTACTGTTTCATTTTCTGGGTGAAATGTTAGCCTTCCATCCTGCAAGAAAACAAAAAGGCAGTGTGGGAATACATCTGGAGATTAATTTAAGCAATATTACAAACCACAGTGTAAACTGTCCGCCAAAACTCACAATCCATATATACTAGATCCAAAAGAAATCTATTCTATGTATTTTGTTGAAAATTAGATTTTTTTTTTCCTGGGCGTTTTTAGTGACAGAAGAGAAATGGTTTGGTGTAGGGGTTAAGGCACCAGGCTAGAAACCAAGAGACTGTGAGTTCTAGTCCCCCCTTAAGCAAAAAGCCACCTGGGTGATCTTGGGTCAGTCACTCTCTCTCAGCCCTAGGAAGAAGCAGGCAATGGCAAACCAGTTCTGAAATCTTGCCAAGAAAGCTGCAGGGACTTGTCCATGCAGTTGCCAGGAGTCAATGCTGGCTACACACACACACAGACACACATACACACCCCCGAAAAATGAGATTGGAGGCTAAAATCAAGGCAATTCAGAGAGAAGTTAGCAGCTGGTGGAACTACAGAAGAGTGTGGCGATTAAGGATAAGACTTGGCTACTGAAAAAATACAAGGGCGTGACTTCATCTGAAGCCCTAGAGACTGCTAAACAAAGGCTCACAGCACTGGCTACCAAGCTAAGGAGATACACTAGAGAAGCAGAGACCAAGAAGGTAAATGTCCTGTACCCCAAACACCGTATATGGGGACGTGGTGGCATAGCGGCTTAATGACGCTGAAAGTTGCCAGCCAGAAATGGTCGACACTTCAGCGGTTCAAGCCCGGCTTTCGCGCAGCAGAGTGAGCTCCTGCTTCCTCCCCCAGCTCCTGCCAATCCAGCAGCTCGAAAACTTACGTGAGTAGATAAATGCGTACTCTCACCCCAGGGCCAGCCTTATCCTCTTGTAGTTCCCATGCTCTTGCGGTGAACTAAGAAAACGCTTATCTCCCTGAGCCTGGCCTTCATAATTCCATTCCATCACACATAGGAACCACAATGAGGAGGCAAGGAAGACAGCAACATCCAAGTACTACCAAAGGATAAGACAGGTCCTGAAGAGCCAGCTCAATGGGAAGAACAAGGTCCCATCAACATGTACGTGTAGTCATCAGATACCCTGCTGGTATAGTGAGCTGGCCAAAGGAAGACATGAACGTTGCTGATGTGAAGACCCAGAAGCTCCTTACAATGTACAAGTCCAACACCCAGAGACTGTACACCAGCCGGAAAGAGGGTGGGTGAGGTCTGGTGAGTGTCAAAGCCACTGTCCTGGGTGAAACCCAGAGCATCCAGGAGTACATCAGTAAGTTGGCATGCAAAGATGAGCTGCTG